GATATTTTTAAATGTTATTTTTACTTTAAAATCCTGAGAAAAACACTTATAAATCTAATTTTAAACATAAAACAAATATTGATCTAAAGTTAAAATGACTTAAAATCTAGCTATTCAACAATAAACTCTTTATGTAAGACAATTGTTCCAAAATAACATTTGGCATTCATCTACTGCTCTTGTTCATACATGGGGCAATGTTCAAATAGTTCATGTGCTATGTTTCCTGAAGCTTTTCTCTTCATGAAATAAATCCATTACTCTGATTGCTGAAATAACAGTACTTTCCTGTTTAAATAGATCTTTAACTGTGTCCAGGAAGTCAAATGCAAAACAAGGGCTCTGATGGTGATCTATTAAGACTAAATTAGTAGTTACATTTTTGTTTCAAAAGAAATTTTCTGGAGGGGATTTATTCCCAGAAAAACAAGTTGAAATCTCCCAGATTAGTAGTAGTAAACAGTATGCGTAGCTTGTTTATAAAAATCTAGTCTCAAAGACTGTTCCTGAAAACCTTATTGAATGGTGACTTTATACCTAAAAAAGAAATATCATTAGCAGCTCTAACTGGCTATATACAAATTATAGACACTCTGACACACAAGACCACTTAAACCTTGGGAACAATACTAGAAACAGTGAGCAAACCTCAGTTTCTTACTTGAAAGGAAATGCCTTAGGTTTTTGGCTATATTCATTTAAATAAAACCTAAACCCTACAAATGTATCAATGCAAATAAGAAAAACTTTCACTTAAAATCCCATCAATTTAGAACACTTATAAATGTATAATTTTTCTTGGTCTTAATCAATATGCATATAGTGTTCAATTTTTTGTTTAAGTTTCAATTAAGTTATTTTGTATAGACTTTTCTATCTCAACAGTCAATATAGTTGTTACGTTTAGTCCCCATAAAATATTGCATTGTATGGATGTACCATTGCTATCTCCTCAATTTTCCAATTATTGAGAATCTGGCCTCTTTATTCACTGTTGATTAAACTACTTTGTATAAAAATGACTTTTCCCCTTTTCAATTAATTTCTTGGAATAGATTCTAAAGAATAAAATGGTATTTATGATATTTTTGACCAGATTGATATCCAGAAACACCTAATTTACTACAATGTACTAATTTATTACGATGCCGGTTGCGATATATGAATGTTTTCTTAAAGCTCTTCCAACACTGGATTTAATACCTTCAATTTAATTTCTCAGTTAATATTGGTGAGGTATTAAATCTCAGTTTTATTTTAAAAATTATTAGTTAGGTTGAACCTTTTTCCAAAGGTCTGTAGTTTATGTTTCCTTTTGTATTTTGCTGTCTGTGGATTCTGTCTGTCCATTCAAGACTGGACATTACTTTCATGCATTTGTATTCATTTTATATATTTTTTAAATAAACCCCCCTAAGACACATTTATTGGAGATCCCCCCCACACTGATTCTTTTTTTTAAGCTTAATTTTCCTAATATATAAATTATATTTATATTCTCAAACTCCTCAACTTATTCATAATTCAGTATGTCTATTGTTTTGTTTTCTTCTGTATTTTTTATAGGTAAAAAAATTTACCTCTTTATCTATTTGAAATGTGTGGAGTCTATTTTACACAGAGCAAATTGTCCATTTCCCCAGCAGTTGTTTTCTGGGATGGTTGTTTTCCCACTTTATTTCATCGGGTTTGTTTCCAAACTTCTTATAGGTGTGTAAATTTATTGCTGGCATTTCCATTGACCTGTATTTCTGTTTCTAACTCTGTATAATTTAGTATGTGTGCTTCAATATGTTTTAACTTCTGGAAGAATAAGTCACTTACCATTTCCCTGTTCTTTTTAAGGTAAGAAAGGAGATTGATGAAGAAGAAATACCAAATATTTCTCAATATCACATGAAAAAATCTATACATTTAGTACCTTTTCTATCAGTTCTTTTGCTATGTCATTTGTTTGTGTCTCATAAGTTAGAGGACATTCCTCAATCACGAGCCTTGGGCGTCTTTGTCCACTGGATGCTGCCGAATGCTTCAGGCTGTAACAGAGAATATACCCATGGTTGGAAGTCAATTGATCATTTTCAGCTAATATGCTTATGTAAAATTGAGAGAGCAACTCACAAATAAGGTCAAGGCAATCTTTTTGTTGTTGTTGTTATTTCAAACTTAATAATGGTGGTCTTCTTAGGTGAAAATACCAGAAAAACAGGTTGAGTTTTCTTAATATAAACCTCTATTAATATAATTTCTGATTTGATATGGAAGAAAAAATTCATCAGTGGTTTTAATAAAAATTGTAAGAAATGATTTTAGATCACTGTTACACTTGATTATTGTACAAAAACGTTAGTCAAGGTCCTCTTTAAATGCAAATAAATATTGTCCTGTCTTCTTCCTTTTTTTTCTTTTCTGATCATTACCCCTTGCTTATTCTTAGCCTTGTCAGAGCACTACTAAGTCCATTTGAAATAATGTTAAAAAAGACAAAATAATTTATACATGGTTTATAAGATTTATAATCAGAAGTGTTGCTACTGTGTGATAAAATGACATGTTTATTTAATAATGTTTGGAGTATCTGATCAAATTCGATCTAATGGTGAAAGCTGACACCTGTACAAACCCTCTCAGACATGTATAAATAGGCTTATACTGATAAGTAGCAGGCAGTGTCCCTTAAAAGCATCTTTCTTTGCTTAGCCCTTTCTTAGTTAAAGCAATCAATTGTTAGGCCATCACTAAAAAGAGAAAACAGTTTTTACCCTGGTATTTGGGATGGATTGATATAGTTAAAGAGTTGGGTGAAAAAATTTAATGTGTTAATCAAAGACTTGATTTGGTTATTTTCACTCCTCACTGGAAAGGGCAACTGTATTTTGAAAACTATCAAACTTACAAGCTAGGCTGGCAAAAATGGTTGCAGTATTATTTGGGAAAGCAGCTACCAAAAAAAGTGAAAAAAATGAACTAAAATGGATGGTCTTTACACCCCCCCCTTTTTTTTTTTTTTTTTTTTTTTTTTTTTGAAAAGGCTGAAGTCTATCAATTTGTGAGAACTCGGCATGTAGGCCTTTCTGCTATAAACTGCTTAGAAGGTAGAGCTAGTTTCTGTTGCCACTATTATTAAAATAGTATAGGACAGTTAAAAAAAACACTCAGTGAAAGTGGACTTCATTGGTCCAGTCATCTCTTTTAGCCCAGTGACAGGACCTGTAGCTGACAACTACTCCCTCATCTGCTGAAGCTTCTAGGTGCTTCTTGAGTCTATCTTCCTTTTCCTTTGTTCACCGACATCCTCATCTAGGACCCATTTGTCTGCAAGGGGCTAAAATCAAGGAAGAGTTTTAAAAAGGAGGGAGGTGTAAGTTTCCTTCTTTCATTCCAGGTTTAACCACTAGAAAATGTGCTCTCAACCAACCCCCCTAAATATCCTTTATTCCCCATCATTACGTTCAAACTTTCTTTTCTTTTAACCGAAGAAAACTGTCTCGACAGCTTCTTAGTCTGTTTCCTTGAACACTAGGCTTACCTTAACTTCAAGCGCAATAGCACTACCCTGTACAGGTAACTTGCAGGTAGGTGTTTTCGCTGCCCCACAGGTTGTATAACAGGATGAATAGCCCCAACAATATATCCTTTAAGATAGTAGTCTTCAACTTTTGTTACTATATCCGGAATTGAATTTATCTTGATGACTTCTGGGTTTGGCGAGGCTGAAATACCAAATGCCATGAGAAATCGCACATTTATAAAATTGAATTATATGTTACTTCTATCTATGTGTGACAATAATTAATGAATGGAAAGCATATCCATGTGACTTAATCTCAAAGTTACACTAACATGTATTATATGTTTTCTAAATTAATTTCAGAAAAAAGCAAAAGTAACCTTATAAGCTGGTAAATATGTAATAGTACCAATATGTCTTATTGATAAGGTAAGAAATGCCTTATATTTACTTTTTCAATTAAGGCAGCTTTATTTTTTAGAATTTCATTTTGAGTGGCGGTATTCCATTAATAGATATGGAAGACATACATATGAGAAACAATATTAAGTTGGAGAGCCAATTGTTTTTATAATTCTGAACAAGCTGAGATGCATCCTTTGTTAAAAATAAAATTCATACAAATCTAAAAATTAAAAGTGGGTGTAATGATATTTGTTAAGCAAAAATTGTCAAGTGCTTTCTTATTTCCAATTACACTTCAAAAGCATCATGTTTTAAGTTTCTTTGGGAAACTAAACATGATTTCTTACGGCACTTATATAAATGCTTGAGTGGAGGAATTGAAAAAGGAAAGGTATCCAGAAGTTCTTTTTAATAAGTAAAATTTCTAAATGTAGAGGAATTTTAAATGCAATAGTGATATGTAATTGAACTAGCCTTTGAAGCAGGGCAAATCTGTAAAAACTATAGAGTAGTACAATGTGTACAGTTTTTAGTAAAAGGAAAAGGGTGTGTTATTTGGGAAAATGTTCTTAATGTTCAAGCAGAGTTAATTGAAAAAACAACTTTATTTTCTGTAACAATATTTCTCATTTTCTGGAGAGCAGTCAAGAATTAATATCTAGAAATAGACCTGCAATTTGATTATCTCTTGAGTAACAAAACATATGAACTTAATTCCAGGCGTGAGCAGTGCTGGCTGTTGGCCATCTGTCAGTCTGGTCCGTGGTGTCCAGCAAAGAACTGTGGCTAATTGCCTGAACACAGGAAGGAGGTTAAGAAGCAGACAAGGAAGAAGGGTCAGAGGAAATCCCCGCCTCCTCTTACATTAGTATCCACATGATGGAACAAAAATCCACCAACACTGGGTATTCATGCCAATGTCTCAAAAGAAAACAAAACCCTCAATAGAAAAGTTATATAAATTAAGACAAATCCATTTCCTCAAAGTCTCTTTCTCTTTTGGATTTACACTAATTTATTTACAATGTATTTTCTTCATCATTATGTATAGGGAGAAATACCAAAGAGAATGATCCTGGACTTGGAAGGAAACAGCTGGGTTTCATCGTCCAATGGCCCTGTGCTGCATGGTTGTGTGGCAATCACTCCATTTTTCATTTGGTTTTACTTTTTCAGTATTTTAACTACCAATCCTATTCCCAAACAAAGAAACTGAAAAACTAAAAAACACAATAAACTGTTAAGACTAAGGAATGATACATACATAACCCAAACCTATTTTTAGGATTATATACTAATTCCACAAAATTTTTTCAAAATGAGGCCTTTTTAATGGATCTTGTTGTTTATTATAGGAAGTGGAAATGCCTTACTTAGCATGATACTGAAGAATCTTCATAGTCTGGCCTCTTTCTACTTATTCAGCTTTCACTGTTGTCATCTGTTTTCTTGTAGGTCTTGCTTTGGCAGGCCTGTACTACTGCAGTTCCTGAACCTCACATGCTATTTCATGCCACCAGGCCTTCACTTCCTTTCCTGCTCCCTGAGACTGGTTAATCACTTCTTCCTCTGTGTGTGCATTCTACTAGTTCCTTTTCAGACTTTATTATAGTTGCTTGTTTATATGCAACTCTGCTGTTAGACTAAGAATTCCTTAACGGCAAAGAACTTACCTTATTTTTCTTTCTATGCCTAGCATTTTCCTTAGGTTATTATTATGTTAAGTTGGAAATACTGTTCATTAGGGGAACTATGAAGTAAAATTATTGCATAAAGGAGGGAAAGCCATCAAGGTTAGCTGGTAAATTCAGGAACAAATGTACACATTATCTAGGACTTGTTGGAGAGAGACACAACAGGGAAAGAACACACAAAAAGTGTTGCAAAACTGTTACTCTTTTGATTATAAAAGTGAAGGTGGTCAAGAACCTAGTGAGAATCCAACCAGGTAGAGTTAAATGTCATATTCACTTCTGAATATTCTAGCTTCGGGCCCCATTTTAGGTTCCTTAAATTAATCATAGTGCAATGAGAAAATGACAAAGAAAATGAGGTAAAAAGTAATGAGAAGTGGAACTACACTGGATGTAATTAGCTCCACCTTGGGGTGAAATCTGGAGAGAAATTTGGGAGACCTTATCACATACAAAGAATGAGATTGTAGGCTTGGAGAGCTTCAGGATCCCGCTGGGCTTGCTTCCCTTGCTGACTTGGTTGGAGTCACTGTTTGGTCCAACGTTGTCTTACCTAAGTCTACTCTCATACCATTGCTTGGAAGGAAACCCCAGAAATCAAGAACTGAGGATTGGGAAGAGGTTGACTACTTTAGATGCTTCATACAAGTAAAATCATACATTACGGTTGACCCTTGAGCAACATGGGGGTTGTGGCACCAACTCCCATGGTCAAAAATCTACATATAACTTTTGACTCCCTAAAAACTTAATTACTAATAGCCTACCATTAACTGGAAGCCTCACCAATAACATAAACAGTCAATTAACGCATATATATATATATATATATATACATATACATATATATATTATATACTGTATTCTTATAATAAAGTAAGCTAGGAAAAAGAAAATGTTATGAAGAAAATCATAAGGAAGAGAAATAAATTTAGAGTACTATACTGTATTTATCTAAAAAAATCTGTGTGTAAGTGAACCTGTGCAGTTCAAACCCTTCTTGTTGGGTCAACTCTATTTATTTGTCTTTTTGTGACTGGCTTATTTCACTTAATACAATATCCTCACGGTTCATCCATGTTGTAGCATATGACAGGATTTCCTTTTTAAGACTGAATAAGATTCCATTGTATATATATACCATATTTTGTTTATCCATTCATCCATCAATGGATATTTGAGTTGGTTCCACTTCTTGGTTATTGTGAATAGTACTGCTATGAACGTGGACACGCTAATATCTGTATGAGATACTGCTTTCAATGCTTTTGGATGTATACCCAGAAGTGTGATTGCTGAATTATATGGTAATTCTATTTTTTAAAAATGTTTATTCATTTTGAGAGAGAGCGCACATGTGAACAGGGAGGGGTAGAGAGAGGGGAAGAGAGAGAATTCCAAGTGGGCTCTGCGCTGTCAGCACAGAGCCTGACGTAGGTCTCTATCACACGAACTGTGAGATCATGACCTGAGTCAAAATCAAGAGCCAGATGCTTAATGGACTGAGCCACCCAGGTGCCCCTGGTAATTCTATTTTTAAGTATTTGAGGAATGGCCATATTGGTTTCTATAGTGGATGCACCATTTTACAGCCCCATAAACAGTGTACAAGTTTTCTAATTTCTCTACATCCTTGCCAACACTTGTTTTCTATTCTTTTTTTTTTTAAATAGTAGCCATCCTAATGGGTATGATATTTCATTGTGGTTTTGATTTGTATTTCCCCATTAGTGATGTTGAACATCATATGCTCATTGGCCATTTGTGTATCATTTTTGGAGAAATGCCTTTTCAAGTCCTTTGCCCATTTTTAAATTGGGTTATTTTTGTTCTCAATAAGAGTTCTTTATATATTCTGGATATAATATTTACTTCCATTTCATAGGTTGACTTTTCGCTCTGTTGTGTCCTTTGATACACAGAAGTTTTTAGGTTTGATGTAGTCACATTACCTATTTTTGCTTTAGTTGCCTTTGCTTTTTGTGTCATATCCAAAAAATCTTTGCCAAATCCAATGTAATGAAAGTTCTACCCTATGTTTTCTTCTAGGAATTTGATAGCTTAGGCTAATCTTTAAAGACTTTTTTTTGAAAAGTACAATAGCACTAGATTATTGGTTTACATTTTTTTTTTAACATTTATTTATTTTTGAGACAGAGAGAGACAGAGCACGAACGGGGGAGGGTCAGAGAGAGAGGGAGACCCAGAATCTGAAACAGGCTCCAGGCTCTGAGCCATCATCACAGAGCCTGACGGGGCTTGAACTCACGAACCGCAAGATCATGACCTGAGCTGAAGTCGGACACTTAACCGACCGAGCCACCCAGGCGCCCCTAGATTATTGGTTTAAAAAGGTATGCTATGCCTTCTTTCTCAAAATGATGCCAGAAAAATGAAAAACTATGATACTTTCACATTGGCTTTACATAATTATTTTAGGTAAGGTAAGTTATAAAATGAATACATAAAAATCATGAAAGTATAAGAAATTTTAAAGTTTATTGAAAAAATACTATTTACCTGACAAAAGCGAAACACAAAAGAATGTAGATTGTAGTTTATAACTTAAAATAATATATGAGTGGAGATGAGCATTTCATCGTATGAAAGCGTGTCTTTGTAAATTATACAATTCAATATAAGAATGAGGGATGTGTGTTGGCTTGGAAATCTCTCCTGGCATTTTAACCACTACCACTGGCCAGGTGTAATTATAGTGGGTATCACAAGCTGTGTGAAGTTGGTTGTTTTTCCATATGGCATGACTAGAGAGAGTGCTTGAGGTTTCAGTCAACAAACCATTCAAGGATCACTTGAATTATAACTGTGAGTTCTGGTTTCCTGGTTGTTGCCTGAAAACTTGCCATTGTTAACCTCTGGCAATATCAAGAGAGCCCCAATCTCAGAATGGGTGTCAGGTACTTCAGAGAAAAGCCCAAGACTCTTTTAAGAAATGTGGCATTTCCAATACTCCTGACATCCCAGAGGAAAAAGTTATGTGGAAAAAAGGGGACACAAGGGGTCTGAATCTGAAAGTGATTTAGAAGAATTGAGGCCTGAGTGTAAACAAGTTTTAGGAATATTTTTATTGCACTTAGTGTTC